ATCGTCATTTTGTAGAGCGTTTTTTACTGCATCTTTTCTTCATAGAGACAAATTTACAACCACTTGTTTCACTATAGAAAAATTTATTATTCAAATCGAGTCAGGACTTCTGGCCCACCCTTTAACAATCAAACAATTTCTTGAAAGAAAGTGTTCTTATGTACAGTAAAACTCTAGAAACATTATTGTTTGACCCATTGAGAGTGACGAGCAATATAAACTTAGCATCTATGATTATTTCCATAAACTTAATTTTCAAAATATGATTATGAGAAATGCAGAATAATAGAGAGAAAGAAACAATTGCCGTAAAGTTAACTAACTGATAGTTACCATTATTTTAACGGTAACTGAAAAGGCAGTTATCGAACTGAAAAGACAGTTACCGTTGATTTAACGCTAACCGATAAGTTAGTTACTGTTATTTAACGGTAACTGGAAAGGCAGTTATTGTTAAAGTAACGGTAACTGTCTTTTCAGCTACCAAAGGCAGCTATCGTTCCGTTAGTTTAACGGTAACTGTTTTTCTAGTTACTGTTGAACAGCGGGAACTTTTACATTCCTATACAGAATAATGAACTTAGTTTTACAGTTTACTGCAAAACTAAGCTCATGTGTTCTAATCTCTATTAGTACAAAACTGATTTGATGTTTTTCGATAGTTTTAGTTTAGAATACTATGATGGAATACTTTTCCGCTTGTATACTGACACAATAATGCTCACACTAACTAAATGAACTCCTCTTTGGAATAAAGTAGTATGGTTGCTTGTGCTATACGCGTATGTTCGCCATATAAACTTTTGACAGATGAACTAGGCAGCCAAGTAAGTCAAATGAGTATCTATCGGCATTTGTTGATAGTTTAATTGGGAAAATTAATAATTAAATATTCGATTAAGGTTGGTAGTATTGAGAAATCTTTCAAGAGCAGCCTCTTCAGTTGCTCCCAAGCCAGTCAATGTTTGAGCAGTGTGAAGTATTACCATATAGTTCGGTGGGTTCGCTATTGTTTGTTTAAAACGTTAACTGCAGTTACAGCCGCCCAGGCGAAAAAAAAATCTAACGATTTTTTCCTGAAATTGAAACTTTTTGTTATTTGGAACTGCTAAGTACTCATTCTACGGCTCTCCATTAGTTTGTTGTCAGCTAATGTAATTTCAAGAGGATATGACCAAATGGGAAAAGTGGAAGAATGGTGGGACAAAAGTTAAGGGTTCCAACCTCTGTGACTTCCCTCTGTTTTTATTTTTGAATCATTTCAAAACGCGTTTAAACGACTAAAAAAGCGTTGGGTTTGAAACCTTTAACGCGTCTGTTTGTCAATTTTTTTACCCTCAGGCGTTCAGTCACTTACAAGAGGAAATAAATAGGTATAAAAAGTTCTGCTGTGTTTTTTCTGGTATGTTATATAAAAGTTTCTTGGCCAGAACCAGTCCGACTAAAAAGATTTTCGTAACGTAACCATATTACTCTCGTCGCCTCGTCGTCCTCAGCGCATAATCAACATTTAGGAGCACCCTACTCCAATCGACTGGCTGCTAGAGAGAAAGAAACGCTATACCCGTAAACTGTTGTACATTTAGTAGGAATGCCGTTTCTTTTAATAGTTCTACTTAAAATGATTCGGAGATTTTCCTTAGTTAGCCTTTTCTACACTTTTAGGGAATTAATATCTATTGAAAAAGTGACGAAATGAACCTGCTTCATGGCTATCGACTTATATTGATTATATGTCTTAGTTTTAATCCAAAATCAGTTGTTTCTTCCGTACTGTTGTACGATACAGAAGATCGATCAGCTGCACAAGCTTATGATTGTATACACTATACTGATCTACATAATCATATGCAATCTGTCAAATACTGCATTCAATCGCATGAAAGCATTTCGTTAAATCGTACGTCTTCAGACAATACGGCTTTGTGTTTAAACGATGGGACCGAACATAGTTTTAAAGAACTAAAAGCGAATGGAACAAATGCACAAGAATTAACACAATGGGCTTCGGTAACTATTGAATTGGTAGATCAATATGCACAATATTTAGAAAGGTATCTTTCTTTTTCTACTGAAATGTCGCATGTAAGGAAATGTAGACCAAAAGAACTTAGTTCGATTTGCTGCCCTTATATTGCTTTCGATCAACAAAGAACGGCATATACACAGTTTCAAGCAGTTAATAAACTCTTGTTAGTTCAGAAAAGTATTATCGGAAGGGAATATTCCTCACAAAAAGGTACTTAATTCACCATCAGCCATGAAAATTCTTCCTGCGAAATTGCTTCACCTAACTCAGCGTTCAGAAGACCGCAGTGCAATTTTAGTTTAAATCTATATTTCTCTTCCAAAGCTTATCGACATTCTATGCACTGATGAAATCATTTTCATTCTTTACTCTCCTTAGCTCCCAGACTCAATGTCGGCAAAGCCGCATGCAGCGCCACAACATTTTGAGATCAGTTTCGCTATATCTCTTTAGGTCTAATTCAAACGATGACGATCGGATGATTTGTCATTGTAAAATTTTCACATTTGTGAAATTTTGCGAGTATGAATTTATGACAGTGAATACAAGCTTTTATGATACGTTGCAACATCAGTTTCTATTAAAGTACAGCTATCCCTTAGGACAAGCTTTCTACGGTGATATAATGTGTTATACCACATTAACTTTATGTGATCCAGGCTTATTATGCCTTGACTGGCGGAGTATATGCGACGGTAGGTGTATGATCGACAGATCTTTTTGCTTCTCGACACACAAAAAGACTATGCGAGAACAAGAAGCACTAAACCAGAACAATGTCGCGCGAAGATAACTGTATGATTTTCGAATTTATTTTGGAATGGAAATGACCAAAGAGCAGGTATGCATCAGTTCTAAAACTGGTTGTTTGGACATCCAAGAAAACTTTTATGACTCGGCTATCAAGAGTGGCTGAAAGTTGCAGAGCGTTTCATTGTGTAGAGAAATGTTCGTTCTACAAAACTCAATGGTTCAAAAAACTATAAGATTACTTGTATGGAAAATACAAGTATTATGATTCATAGGAACTGTTCTTCCAACAAGTTCCACTATATTAGATCAAATGTGCTTTCGACACAGTTAATCTTACAATTTTTTGAACCACTGAGTTCTGTAGTGCGAACATTTCTCTACACAACCTAAGCACAAAAAAAGCAGCTAGCATCGCTAGATGCATCTAGATTCACTAGATACAATGATAGATGCAGCTATAGGAAAGAGAGAAAAGTTGAATCGAGCATCGCTCGATGTAGCTAGACGTGGACGATGAACTGCCAGATGCATCGACTAAAAGACGATGGAGATTTTTAAAGAATAAATAAATAACTGTACATTTAGTAACAGTCGATGCAGCTAGCTCCATTTGATAGATGCACTAGTAGATCCAGCTAGATTCATTAAGCTAGCTGCATCGACTATTACTAGATACACAGTTATTTAACTATTCTTTAAAAATCTCCATCGTCTTTTGGTCGATGCATCTAGCAGTTCATCGTCCACATCTACCTGCATCGAGCGATGCTCGATTCAACTATCGTCTTTTTGCTATGAAGCCAGCTGCATCCACTCGTGTATCTATTAAATAGAAAAGTGTAAAGATATGATATGATGATGCAATAGAATAAATAAATACACTAGTAGATTATGGCTGTAAATTTTTTTCTAAAAGAAATAAGAAAAAGAACCCAAAAAGGATCGAAAATCCTTTTCAGTGATCGAATTACCGTAAGGTAATCGTTATGACATATAATGATAACATCGTGCTTGGACTTGTGTAGAATGTGTATCCGATAGATACTGACACTCAAACCATTCGGATTAATAATACGGTGGAGCCAGAATGTCATTTTAGACCTGTACTCTCTATATCTACCGTACTGACCGGGTATGGTTGTATTACTACATCCACAAGCCACCGGAGAATAACGAAATTATTACACCGAGGCTGTCACTTATCTCTATTCTCTGTCAAACTTCTATATATTCTGATATTTGTTTGAGATTGTGCAATAATCCATAGTGATAAAACATGCCCATGAGGACATTTTCGATACATTTATCGCGATAAGTGCTGGTTTTATCGAGGCCGTCACGGAGTTTTTGCAGTTATCGAGATAAATAATTTATCGGACAAAGTAACCTTTTTATTGCCATAATTT